TCCTCTAGCTACCTCCTTAGTCTCCCTCATTGTTTCTTGTCTTCTTCTCCAAAATCTCCTCTTTCTTCTTTCAAATCTAGGGCCCCTATCTGATCCATCAATGTACTCTTTCTTTCCTCAGTTCTGCCAAACTCCAGTAGATTCCATTCTTTGATCTTTGCTTTCAAGAACTGGAGCTTTTTGTGAAACCTCATACCTTCCCATTCCATTAAAGGGTGACACTCTTCCCACTATTTCCTAACTCTCTTTGTGAATCCTGGGTGATGTAGGCACATATTTTCAAATCTAAATGGGGTTGGCCCATCTCTCCCTCTTTCCTCCTTATAGATCACAATGGGCCATTGGTCGGAGTAAGCCTTGGGAGTGCTCTAGAGGATAAATTGCCCCAATGTATTTCCTAGTCTGTGGAGAAAAGAAACTGATCCAATTTGGAGCAAAGTGGATTCGACTAAAGATTAGACCAGGTGAAAGTCTTATGGGATAAAGGAATCCCCTTAAGTTCAAAGGCATCCACAAATAGGTTGAAATTCCTCATACTTGTAGTAATACTTTGATTGGGATTGTTAGTCTCCTCTATAAATCTAACCACATTGAAGTTCCCTCCCACACACCACAGTCCATCCCACAAACCCCTAACATCACTCAATTCCTCCCATAACTCCACCCTTTCCCTATATTTGTTTGGTCCATATACATTCGTTAGCACCCATTCAAACCCATCCTCTACTTGCTTAAATTTCAGAGAAACTGTGTATTTGCTTATTAATTCCTCCATCCCCATCAACACATCCTCCTTCCACAGTGTCACAACCCCTCCAGAGGATCCCTAGGATGGAGCAGCCATTCATCTAATCCCCCATGTCCTCCATACATTTCTCGCCCATTTGCTATCAAAATCCATTCTCGGGTCCTTTAGTTTACATCCCAATTTACCCACAAATTCTGCAACAGAATCCTCTCTACTGGACTCCTCTAAATTCTCCTTCACCTCCCTCCTACTCTCACCTTCATTCCGCACTCCTTTGCAGTTCATTTTTTCTCACTTCTCCAGGTATCCATTCAATAATTTCCCAAACCAGCTTATTCCTATTTGAAAGGATGAGAGATCCATCATATGGATGTCCGAACCCTGTAGGAAGGTTGGGCGAAATTTCAAAAATTTCTCTCTCTCCCATGTGGGAATCATTCCCGATTTTAGAAAACTGCATTTTCTAGGATCAATCTTGAAACCAAACGGGACCAGATCTGAAACCAAAAGGGAGTAGAGGAATATACCTGATACAGAGTAATAGTAAACTCCCAATGAAGGTGAATACCCAAGGAGAAGGCCAAAGACTTCTTCCACCGAAGATGACACGGTGCGAGGTGAAGTAGAATCAGCAGGACAGTTCTTCAGCAAGAACCGAATTCTTCAACAAGAATATGATGGAGGGCTGGTGAGCATGACTTCAGATTGCCTCTTCTAGCAAAAGGCAATATCAAGAACCGTTCTTGATCACTCCCGCTGGTGGAGATCGAACTGGGTAGGGCGACAAGAGCAGGAACAAGAGCAGAAGAAAGAAGCAGTCGAACTGTATATTGTCTTATCTCTTAATTCAACAGACTATCTGTTGTATATAGAGGTTCGCCCTGCTATCCTATTTATAGCCTTAAAGAGAGGTTCTCCTAATCCTATTAGGAGTTTCCTAATCCAAATCTTTTATTTAGATCTGGACTCTCTTTAAGAGATAAGGATAATCTCTTATTTATCTGTAGATAAAGATCAGCCTTCCTAATCAAATTAGGAGTTTCTTGATCTAAATATTTATTTGGATCTGGACTCTTCAAGTGGATAGGGATAATCCATTATCCTATCTGCTGATCCAAATCCTAGAACCGCCCTCATTTAATTAATCTTATTAAGCCAGTTTGAGTTCGGCTTTAGGCCCATTAAGTCTATGTGCTCACTTAACCTCTTAATCTACTGCCCAGTTGGCTATCCTTGTATCGTGGGACCCAAACATTGATCCACACATCAGCCACATGGATTCAGCCCAGCCTCTTGTTACAAGGCCTGGCCGAATTCACTGTAGGAGACAGTGAACCCCTGAGTCCATCACCATGGGCTCTTAATGGGCCCAACATTTACACTAAATGGTCCTTGGGTCAAGCCACCTTATAAAAACCCAAGGACTATGGACAGATGCAAAATTAGCCCATCAGGTATTACCCTGAATGGTCTTACACTTAACCTCTCAACCCATAATGATTAAACACTGCCCGACAAAGAGGACCTCTCCCTCGGCTGCAAGGTACAGTGCTGCACTCTCTACTCACATGGATCCCGGGAGTTAAAACCTTTTGCAAATATTTTGAAACCATAATATATATATGTACTTCAACGGCTGAAATCAACTACTGACAGTTTTGGTTTCCATCAGAGAGAGTGCATCCCCGATCACTCACTTTGTCCGACAAAGGGGCTGATCTTGTCACTATGATCACCGACTCAGATGAATTCTCGGACTATCCCAATATACCCAGGTTTTGACCCCCTCTAAGGATCTCACTGATTGGCATATCAAAGACAACCCAATCTGACACCTAGTGCAGTATCATAATCGAGTCTAAGGGTCAGGTGTAACATTCTAGTTTTGCCCATCTATCTCCAAGGTCTAGGGCAATACTAGAATTTTGGTCCGGTTCAGGGTTTCAAGAAAACCCACACTGCATGTACCTTAGGTCTCACCCTAGCAACTGAGACAAGCTACCCCAACTAACTTGGCGGCAAATCAGTGTCAGCCTTGGCAAGATAAATCTCCCCAGATCTATCCAACGACTGTGAAGATTCTAAACTAACACGAGTCTCATAAGTATCCAGTTTAAGGGTATTACACAGAAACACACCATAATAATATGAATCAAATATGTACTTTATTCATTTACATTAAATGTCATAATGTACATCATTCTTATTGGAGCTAAGGGCATACACTGTCTAACACTATTCACTTCCCCCATTAACCCTTCCCTATCCTTCATCCCCTTCTCCATGGGTGTACTTCCTGCTAGAGTGGCTTTGCAAACACTAGCTCTCAAATCGGGGCTGAGACAGGAATCTGGAACAAAAGACATTGAGCACTCATTAGTAACAAAAAAAGACTTCACTTGGTTACCTGGGTTTGGGCGAGAAGGTGGAGAGGAGTGAGGACTGATGTTAGCAATCTCCTTTCCCTGTTCAGAGGACTGATCCCTATCTGTTCACTTGGGGTGGTGAGAAGCCAATCCCATCACACGACCATCACTGTGATAACTCTCTATACCCTGCTACTTCTCCTTGTCCAACAACTTCCTACTCTGCCTCAAGTTGTCCTAATTCATTACCCTTATAGTACCTTGCACATCTTGGTACAATAGAGGAGGGTTACTCCTTGCTCGAAGATTCCCCGCCCCCCATCTGCCTGGCCTTGCTCTGTCTTATTTTCCTCCCCCTTTCTGACATTCCATTCAACCATCTCGGCTTGTTGCTCTCCTTCCTCTTGCAGCTGAAACCACCTTCCTAGATTGATGTTTTCTATAGGATCTTCATCACACACACCTTCATTGCCTACACTTCCTACACTTATTGCATATTCTGAACTATCATCAGAGTCATCCGTTTCCTCCTCATCCAAGCTACAGTCGACCCAACCATCATCCTCTTCCTCCCTCTCTTCCATCCTATCCCTCGTATATCGTGGGCTCGGCCTCTTAGACGAGTGGTATTGGACCGTTTCCTTTGACCCCTGGAGAGGGACCCACCAGAGAGAGGTTTCTCTGCCTTGTTCCTGTCGTTGCAAGCCTTTTCGTTCGAGTTGGCCCAAGAAGGAAGAAGATGGACGGGAGTTCCCGTCTATTATCTCCTTAGCTTTACCTCGGTCCACGTGATCACTTAAGTTATCACGTGGGTCGGGTTTCTTCCTATCCTGGCCCTCTGCTGAGCCACCCCTGACCCCGACCGGTTCAGACACCACAGCTCGGCCTAACACACCCAAGCCACAACCTTTCTTGGCCACGTAAGCGTAAGAAAACCCATCCCCCCTTCTTTACTTTTTAATTCAAACCATTTTAAATTAATTTTCTTAATTAGATTTCTTGTCGCTTAGTCTTCCCCTGCCGAAAGTTCAGCTTCCTTCTTTATTTCTCTTTCCATGTCAGTATTTCCCCCCATTCCTCCATCTCCACGTGTCCTTCTCCCTGCTCCATCAGCTTCATCTTCTACCTCCAAACCTCCTCCCCATAGTGACGCTTCAGCTCCTGAAGCCACCCACACCCGATACCATATCCCTTCTGCACAAACCTGAACAAAGCGAGGCAAACAATCTGGTTTGACTCCGGCAATACGAATCTCAAGGGCACGCAAGCTTCGTGAATTAACCTCCAACAGAACTCCCCCCAGCATTTGTGCGGTGCTTCCAACAGTTGGTTCACACCAGAGATTGAAAGGGAGCCCTAAGAGTATAATTAAGACACTTCCTTCACCGAGCTCAATCTCGTTGCAGAGTGGAGTCCTGTTCTGAATCTGGACCAAACCACCATCCACAGAGACTGTTGTGAATAGATCGATTAGCCCTAGATTAGTTCTAGGTGAAGAAAGAAGAAAGAAGAAGAAGAAGAACCAACATCATCAAAACCAGTTTTATTAAGAACCATAATGAAGTTAAAGACTGATTTGCAAAAATTTTCCATTACTGAATGGACACACGTTCTTTCTGTCTTTCCCCTTGTACATAACATCAAATTCTTCAAACGTAGAAAATGGCTCCTCATTGGTTTTCATTTCATACAGAATACCATCATATTAAACTTTCCCTTGTCATTGATTTGTGCTAAGACAAAGCTCCTTAATATAAACTAGGTCTTATTTCCATTTATTTCTTTTCCATTCTATCTATTTATCATGTATATACATACATATATAAGCAAAAGAAAATTGTGTTGCTAGAAAAGAATTAACTGATAATGAAGGAAACAACATCTACCTGATCTTTAAGAGCATCCACATCATGCTGGGATGTGATTGGTCTTCCAGTAACAATTTCCAGCAAGATTACTCCAAACTCATAAACATCAATCTTATCTTCATGTTTTATCCTGCAATCAGTATGAATTAGATTAATTAGGATATCTATGGGGAAGAGAAAGCCACAAAAAAAGTATTTTGAATAAATTAAACTTGTTATTCTTAGACTTGATTACAGAATTACAGGACATTTACCCATGATATTCTCTTCATACCAGAACAAGCATCTATAACATATCCAAGAATTTACGTCTGAAAATGCATTATTGTTGAACATGTTCCTTGTCCACATGATAATATTAAGCACAATCATGGGTTTGATGGAAACAAGAAAAGGAGAAGCTGATGGAAAATAAACAAACCACAAGAACACAATATTTTTACATGGTTTGGCAGGATGCCTACAACTACAGACAAAGATAATTGGAATAATTCACTATTAATCAAGGAGATTATAATGAAACCAAAATCCAAAAAAATGCCAACGAAAAAAATCTCTTCCAAGAAAAACACCCACTATAAAATTCTTCCCATGAGAAACACAATTCTGATACCAAATCATAGTTCCCCATCTCGCAAAAAGAGACCTACATAAAAAAATCCAAAAAACCAAAATATAGGAAAAAAACTACATAAAACCCACAAAACCCATAAATAGGAAACAACCAAGAAGAACCTCCCATGCAGAACTAAAGTCTCACTTAAAATAGCGTTTAACCATGTATTTGTAGATGTCCAAGGAATTAATTCCTAGTTCCATAAGAAAACCCCAAAGAATAATAGTATCAGTCTCCAAATAGAAATCTTCCCAAAAGAAAGCTACAAATACACATGTATATAATGGCATAAATATAAGGCTCTAAAAGAATAGGGCGAAGACCAAAGAAAATATGGTCTGAAGTGGTAAAAATGTTAAGAACTTAAAACTTCACATAAAACATGTCTCTTGAAGTCTTGATAGAGCATAATGGCAGGACCAGTATTTTAATGGCATGCCTAAGTGCACAGGTAAGGCACATTTTAGGCACTCAGGTTCTGCCCTTTTCAAAAGGCACACACCAGTTTGTCTAGGCATGCATCTGGTACGCCTTGCACCTAAGGTGTGTTTCTTTTTACAACTGTCTTTCTTTTTGTGGATTCTTCATGTTTTACACTTTTGTAATGGTTTCTGATCTACTGTATTACCTGTTGTTGTTATTTGTACACTAGTAACGATCCATTAACTTTTAAAATAAGCAAAAAGAAAGACCTTTCAAATACTTAAAGCCTTAGTTATTGCAAATAGTATCTTTTTTTGGGGGGTCAGCAAAAGAGATTCATTAAATTAAAATCTGAAGCAATCAAGCAAAGTACAAATATTGGAGCACTCCAACCAACCCCACAAATAGGATCATAAATAGCAAAATTTTCGCTAAAGAAGCAACAACCATACAACTAAAACTTGACCCCTAATCCTAAAACGGAATGAATTGCAACTAAAACCACAAAACTAATTATTTGTTGGATGCTTGATGCACTTTGGTACAATCCACATATGTTTGCTTTCACTTCCAAATTTTCACTTAGAATATGCTATGTTTATCAGTTCATATATTTTAGTTTGAGGACAATAGGCTTTTTAAAAGATCTAATTTCTTTTAAAAGACGTGTTTTCATTTTCTAATATATTAACTGTTTTGTATTTTTATTTTGACTTTCTTTTTTCAAAATTTTGCACCTTGCTTTGACAAGGTGTGTGCCTCACCTTGCACCTTGCACCTTGGGTGCTAAAGGCCCTTGCATTTTTCTTATGCCTTGCACTTTTAAAACATTAGGCAGGACAGGTTTCATGTAGCCCACACCCCAAATAGTTGGAATTTTGTGTATTCTAGACTATGTTTGACATAATTTAGCTTGAAAAGGGTTCAGTCAAAACCTTCCAGCAATGCTATACTCTTTTGATACACTAGAAGAAACTCCTCCACCTACCTGCAAGGTATATGAAATTACCAAAAGCAGACCATCAACCCTGAATCAATTTCCTAAAGCAAATTCAAGACTTCAATGCATCAACAGGGGATCAAAAATATAGGATCTTTATCTGGACATACCTTTCCCATATTCTCTGCTAATAAAGGCAGGTTATAGCTGCTAATTTTAGCAACAAGGTTTTGATCCAACAAAATATCTGTTATTTTCAGATTATTTGAAAATACACCAGGCACAATCCCTGTATGAAGAAATTGTATACCCTTTGCTATGCCAATGGCAGCTGCTATCCTTTGTGTCCAGGTAAGTGTTTGTCCTGCAAGACCCTCTGCAAAATGAAAGATATAAATAAATTCAACTACAGGTGGAAAATATAATATAACTACAAAGATGACAGGACAGAACCTGCCTTCCCCATCCATGCAACAGATGCGTTTCATATAGCTCCTTCCTTCTATTTATATCATTCACTTAATTTCAGATCTTTAAGGCTTATTTTATTGCTGTTTATTGTACTATTACTTTCTGTTCTTATGTGTTGAAATATAGTTTCTAGTTGATATAAGTTCTTTTTGTTTACTTTATTTATTTTTGTTCTGTTACTGTAATTTTTCTGTTACAGCATTCTTGTTTCTGTTAATGATGTATAGGTGGCAAGAGTAGTTTGGTAATTGTACCATATTATAAAGGATCTTATAAATACCAATGATTAGGGGTCAGCAATCTAACTTTTCTGCTCCCTTATTTCTTTCATTCTTTCTGCCCTTTCTTTCTCTGTTCTTTTTTTTTTTTTGATAATCGAATGAAAGATTTATTAGATGTGAAAAAAGTTTATAATCAGCATAGAGAGAAGTGTGAGATGAGGCCTCCCCTTACAATAAACTTTACTCCAAAACTAAACAACTACAAAGCAACCCAGAATAACTGTTCCCGATAAGCCCCTTGTTTAGCAAAACCATCTGCCAATGCATTTGCCAATCTGCTTACCCAATGAAAACTCACTGTTATATCCCTTGTTAACCAAGTGATTCTTTACAAAATCCCTGTATACTCCAAATGACAGTATTCAGATCCAAAAACCATCCTATAACCACCTTAGAATCTCCTTCAACTAATAAATTATGCACCCCAAATTGATTAGCAATCTGAATTCTCTGTATATCAGCCAATAATTCCACCTGGTAGAATCCCCTTCTCCCACAGGTCCTGTAAAAAAGGCTATGATATTGCTGTCCTCATTTTTCAGAACTCCTATACCTTCCAGTGGAGGTGACCAAACTATTTTAACAATATATTTCTTGGTTGAAGCTGACTTACAAGCCTTATCTGAGGAATTGGATTATTACAAGGTTATTCATGGAGGGATACTGAAGCTGAACAATACTAGATTTTGAAAAATCAAGATAGGGTGTTTGAATTTTTATCTGGGCAGAATTCAAAATTTGAGACAATCAGAATGCAGCTATTGGAAGGGGAGATGTCCCATCTATTGATGAAGTGTAATTCATCATTCAGGAGGACGCCACTAGGAGGGTTGCTATGAAGACTGATGTAGAACATTCTTTTCTTGTTTCTATAACTGGGAGAAATGAAACATCAGAAAGAAGCAAGTAACTAACAAGATAAAGATCATTTGATGTGAATGTTGAGAAGTCTCTTGTTCCTACCAAGTTCTCTACCACTACTACTGACAGGGATGGCACTTTTCCCCATCCCCAACGGGTACCTGACTTCCCCGACCTGATGGGGTCGGGGATGGTGATTGCTTTGGCGGGGTGGGGATGGGGATGTGGATTAATAGGGATCCCCAACCGTGGTTGGGGTCAGGGATGGGGACTGAGGTCCCCACCCTGCCCCGACCCCAATTATAAATATATTATATATTATTCATATTAAATATATATTATTATATAGATGATATTATTTATATTATATATATATATGAAAATATATTTAAAATATTGTTTATATTTTAAAATTTTTATTTATTTTAAGTAAATTTATTTTTCAAAAATTATTGTTAACTAAAAAATTTCGAGGATTCGGGTCCCTGCGGGGAACCCATCCCCATTGGGGATTGGGGATGGAGGACAACTTCTATCCACAATGAGGATGGGGATTTATTTCAAAATTGGAGTCGATGACAGGGAATATGATCCTAGCCCTGAACCCACCCTGTCGCCATTCCTAACTACTAAAAATTCTTGAACCTTCACATTTCCAAGGAAGAATCAACTTATTTGAGTTGTCTCTTTGCTCAACTTAAAGCTAACAATGGCAGTGCTTCTCCTTCTGGTGGTGTCAGAACATCTACCTCCAGATGAGTGCTTACAATCAAATAAAAGGTTGATGGTGTTAGAATGCTTGAGTCAGGGGTATTTTGGTCATTCTGGATTATTTGCTTGAGAGTGAAAGGTCTATTGTATCTGAGTTTAAGTTATATGTCCCATCTTCTATGAGGGACAAAATGGTCTTTCTTGTAACTCTATGTTTTTTGAATAAATACAAGTGGGTCAACTAGGGGAGAGTGATTTTGACTCTCTTCTAGTCTGGCCAAACCTTTTCTTTCTTCTTCTTCTTCTTCTTCTTCTTCTTCTTCTTTCTCTTTTCTTTCTTCTTTTCTACTTCAACCTAGAATCTGCTAGGGTTTACTTACATGGTATCAGAGTTGTAAGGTCGTATCCTCATTTCTTTCTTGCTGTTGTTCTCTTTCTGGGTTCGCCGCCAACTTTCACAGTCATCTTCCTCTTTTTCGACTGACCTGAGTGGAGGTTCGATAAGGGGCTGAAAAGGAGCTGTCGTTTTGTGGGYCTGGAGGTGAGAATGCCTCCGGTCGTTGCTGTGGTGGTCGTTGGAGTGGTATACTAAACCCTCTATTCAGTATCGAAGAGGGCTGAATGTGGACAGGTATGAACACTACTGTTGT